GATAGTAAGTCCTTTGACCTTTATGCCTCCAATTCTTAAATCTGAGTATCCTGCAGGTGTTTTTGTATTATTAGAGATATGTTTTACTTCAATCTTTAAAAAATTACACTATACCTATATTCACCTTCTCAAGGAAGATCATTGATAAAAGAATGTCAAAAAACCTTTAATGAAAATGTTTTATGAGCATGAGTTTTAGACTGTTTTCAGTAAAAACTAAATTCTTAAGGATATCTAGTAGTTCACATGTGATTAATGTTTATTTTTGGTATTTTTCAGCATACCTGATTGATAAAATCAAAATCAAAGGCTATTATGTATTCAAACTGACTGAAGAAAAATCTAGACCCAGATTTGGATTCTTCACACCCGATTTCAAAGCTAAATCCTCAATCCAGTTTTACAACAACCTGATCAGCAACAATGGCTTCCTTTCTGAGAACAGTAGCCCTAGATGCAGTCAGGCTCAAAGAAACACGGAATGTATTGTCTGCTTGCTTCTTGTGCAGAAGAAACCGCTGATATTCTTTGGATGTTGTTTCTTCTCCACCCTGGTTCTACTGTTATCAATTACCATTTTTCATAAGCAAAAGAGAAGAAAAATTTGGAAAGCAAAGAACTCACAGCACATACCGTTAAAGAAAGGCCACAACAGAGTTCTTAGCTAAGCTGATCTTATTTCTGTCTGCAGGATGGAAAAGTTTAAAAATTCACTCCAGTTCCATATACTGGTACTTACAGAAGATACACCTATATTGTAGAAAAAAAGACAACTTGAGAATTTAGTGATAGCCAAGGTAATGACAATCACGGTCTCCATTGTGTGGTTCAAATTTTCCCTTAAAAGGTGTTGACATCACTGAATTCAGTTCTTGAATCTAAGGTAAAGGTTTCCCTACAGTAAGTTTATGAGGATTATGATACATTGTTTCATGGAGTTTGATGAGCTGTTTCCTATCATTATTCTCTAGCTTTCCTCTATTCATACCAGTAGTTACTTAGGATAAAAGAAATTGTTTTGAAAGTACAACTTTGTTAAGACTCCACAGCAGAGACTGTCATTGATAAACTTCTGTCACTTTTTAGGTGCTTTCCCCTTTGGTCAGAGTAGTTCTCAAATGGAAAAAAATAAGGTTAAGAAGTAGTGTTTGTTTATAGCCAGTTACAGACTCTTCAGCACATCAATCCCTCAGCTTTTCTCAAGAGAAATTAAAACTGAGCATTTATAAAACATCTCATTTTATGAGATCTTTTATCAGATGATTTTTTTAAAAATATCATTTCCAGTAACTCATGTAAACATCAGAGGACAAAGATTAAAGAGAACTAGACCCAACTGCCTGTGAAGACAGAGAAGTCATTTAATCTCACAGTACAGCAACTTCTTCAAATTGGTATTATTCCTCACCTGAATCTTAGGAGGTAACAGATATGGCAAACATTCTAAGATATGAAGTTTTTTATATTATCGAGTTATCAAATTACCATTTATCCCATGAGACTTACTCTCTCCCCTGAAGTCCTTCGCTGATCTAACACAAGCACACATGGATCTCTCAAGGTACAGAAGGCACCTCCCAACTGTGGACACAACTCACAGTATTGGTGGCCTAGTAACTATTCTTACATTGCAACCTTTGAAGCTAGGATTAAGTAAATTCTTAAAACTGAATTTGCAGTTTGATTTTTTTAAATTCTGTAAACATTCATTCACTGTATTCTAAATGTTGGGAGGAAGAAAACCTGAATCTAAACCCATTTATACCCATTCTTTCCTTAGGTGAGTCAATATTTAAGTATTGTCTCCTCCTCTGAAGTTTGACTTCCTGAGTCAAAGGAAAAGCTTATTTCCTGGTAACTGAGATACTAATTGACAACAGCATTAAGTTTCAAAGATACAGATAACACAGTCAATTCAAACAAATGCAAAAGTGATTAAGAAATTAATATTCTTTCTGGCTGGCCAATTCAAATAGTAAAATTTTAGAAATTTTTGTCTTTTTGTTCCAACTGCATCCTTCCTCCAACCTTAGCAGCTTTTATTTTCCAAGAATTTTTTATATTACCCTGAGAACCACTGGAGAAGGGAACAGCTACCCACTCCAGTATTCTGGCCTGGAGAGCTACAGTCCAAAGGGTCGAAAAGATTCAGACACAACTGAGTGACTTTCACTTGAGGACCACTTAGTTATCAGGCTTGAGGCTATACATGACTACAGTAACTAGTTTTTTAATCCTAGATTATCAGTTGAGCAACTCAACATCCAAGGTTTTGAAAAAGAAATCCATATTCAGTCATAAGAACAGACTTGGAATTAAGATTTTTTTTGTCATGTGTTTTGATTATCTTGTATTCAGTTTGTTAAGTCTTTACATTTAGTGCTTAATGTATCTTTTAAACTTGTCACCTTGAGTCACTCTTTGCAACTCTGGTCCGTCCATGGGGTTCTCCAGGCAATACTGGAGTGGGTTGCCATTCCCTTCTCTCCAGGGTATCTCACGGGGTCTCCTGCATTGCAGGCAGATTCTTTACCGTCTAGCCACCAGGGAAGGTAAGGTTATCAAGAGTAAAGTCCCTAATTCAATGCTATCCTCCCTTTTTTGCCACCTGGAATTTTACTTGTCTTTAAGCCATCATCATACATGAGTCCCTAGGTACATATTTTAATCTGGCTCATGCTGTTACACCTTTCAGGTTTTTCTTAAATTCATTTCAAAATCATAAATGGGGATTTTCCTGGTGGACCAGTGGCTAAGATTCCATGCTCCCAATGCAGGGGGTCTGGGTTCAATCCCTGGTCAGGGAACTAGAATCCACATACCACATCTGAACAGCCTTTGCCGCAACATAGATCCTGCATTACCAAATACATGGTTTTTTTTTAATTAAAAAATAAAATGATAAAGAGTCAGTTAGGAACTGTTGGCAGCTTTTGACAGGATCTTTTAATTTACCTTTCGAAACTTGAAGAACATCTTAAAATGTAGTTTGTGTATTGTTGCATTCTCCACATTCACTTCAACAACCCTTTCACTACCGTCTGATATATATGGAAGTATCACAATTATGGTGTTTAAAGAGCCTCTGGAAATTGAGGTCAGTAAATTATGACTAGGTGTTTTAATTCTCAATGTAATTTATTCCAAATAAACTGGATTATGCTGATTATTTATATTCAATTTAAGGAACTGTGGAATCTGAATGTTTGGTGTTTTAACTGGGTTCTGCCAACATCACATCCCTCCATCCTCCCAAACTGCATGCCAAGTGGGCAATTTACTCCCAAGTACGTTTTCTCATTAGAAAATGTGGACTGCTACAGCTCAAAACTGAGGATGCACTTACATGCTCATCCATGCACGGAAAGCTTTGCTGGGGAGAACTACACTTCCCTCAACCACATCTAAATTATTAAACTGAAGTAACACCTTAGCTACAACCAGACTGCCAATAGTTACCCTTGAAAGTCTCCACACTTCATTTCTGGTGTTACACACTCCCATTGCTGCTACCACTGCCTATATACCGACACTCTTCAATACGAACACCTCTATCCCTCTGCAACATTGCCACTTGAAAATTTCAACCCTCAAATTCAATTTTTAAATTCTGTCAATACCTTAAAAACATCTTTCGAGGTCCATTACTATTACTCAATCTCCACGACCTGAAATCTCCCTGGCAATTTGGGAACCAATCACTCAGCAAACAGCCATATGCAAGACACTGTTCTAAGAACTTGGAATACCCCAGGGTAGACAAGATCACACCCACCATGGTTAGCCTCTTAGCAGGAAAAAAGTGTATAATTAATACCCAACAAAGTAAACGATTAATCTTACATTATAAACATTATCGACAAAAACTGGAGCAGGGCATGCTAGGATGGACATGAGGAATGAGCACAACAGGCTTCACTGAGAACATCTGACTACTAACCTGTCACTCAAAGAAAAAGACAACTTAATCATCCAACGCCAACCCCAAAGCTCATCTCAAAATAACTCAAGGCAAAATCTTTATTTACAATTTCACCCATCTCTTAAAAATTTAACTGTTATCATCAAACCAATGATGTAACTCAATATAAAATTAATTTCATTTATTTAAACCAAGATTAGTAAGCCCACAGATTTTTCTGATGGACTAGACACAGTATATAAGACAAAAGTTAAAAATGTCTTGCCTGAGAAATTACACGGTTAGAGTTTCTAGCAAATGAGATAGGGGAGGACTACAGGTTTAGGGGCAACCCTACTGAGTTAAAACACAGTATTGTACAATAGTATATCTGAAGTATGACACCATGGAATGGTTCTTAAGTTTTTTTAAAGCTATCAAAGACTAGGATATAGAAGTGGCTGAAATTTGGGTATAACTGAGAGAACATTAGACTACAGCAACCATGTTTATCATAAATACAAACTAACTCCATCTTTTAATTCTTACTAAGACAGTATCACTTCTCAGCTGCTTTTTCAGTTACTGTGACTCAGGCATTTGCCTTACAAATATTCAAATCTACGCTACTGCAAAATTAGGGCATCGCCTAAAGTTCTTCCCACGATAACCATATTCCTCTTGCCTGAAATGTCCTTGGTATTCCTTCAAGCCCCTTCTGCCATTAAATCTTGCTAACAACAAAATCAACAACTCCTATTCCTTCGGTTATTGTTAACATACTAGAACTTACTTAACTGTTTACTAGCCAAATAGTTTGAAATGATAATCAACAGAAAAAAATCTCAAATCAAGAGTTTTTATTGTCTCTTTAAAATATCACAACTGAGTCCACAGAACCATCTGCTATCTTGTTTCTGAAGCAGGATCACTGTAAAAAAAGAAAAGAAATAGTCTGTAATTCTCCATATTCTTGTCCAGAAAAGTTTTATTCTCAATCATGTAAAACATACTTTCTGCCTTTGCTACAACTACAGTTTAATTAGACCCAACTAAAGCAATAAAATTATACAGATATTACAAAAACCCACCTGAGATCTTATTCATCAGCCTGCTGAACTGTTCCTTTTTCAGAAACATAGATACCATCCAAAAATTTTCTGATATCCTTGTTTTTAACTGTGGTGGCTTGCTGAATCAAAGCAGCTATAAGGGTGAAAAAGATAAGGCAATTATCAGCCAAACCCAACCCAAGTATTTCATCACATGCTGTACTTCATAGCTTTTAATTAAGATCCCCAAGATTAAAAAAACTCCTCACCAAATGAACAAATACCAGGTATTTTCAACTCCACGATTTATATAGACAAGATTTTATCGGCATTCATTATGCACAGTAAACATACAAACCTGAATTTGACACAAGTTCAATGTCATTTCCTTCAAGAATCAACTCATCTTTCTGGGCTTGAGATACTGAACAGGCAACCCCTAAAATATAAGAGGGCATTTGCATAGTGTCAACATAAAATAAGATTTGTAGAATACTTAAAATGTTTAAATCAAGGAGAAATTTCTTTGATTTAAAATTCCACACACCAAATGAAACTGTTTTGTAATAGAATCTGAATTATCTGGGCAAATTTTGTATTCCTGGGACTTCCTGCTGCTCTTGTAGCTAACATTCTGGGCTGTCAATAAAGGGGGACTGGATTCAATCCCTGGTCAGGGAACTAGTTCCCACATGCTGCAAGTTAAAGAGTTTGAATGTTGTGACTAAGAATCTCATATCTAAATAAGCAAAAACTAAGACTCAGCCAGATAAATAAGCTTTGTATCCAATTTTATTTCTTATTTCTATTGTATATGTGTGGTATTCCTCAAAGCTCCTTTTTTGGGACTTCCGTGCTGACCCAGTGGTTAAAGCCTCTGTGATGCCAATGCAGGGGGTGAGGGTCCGATACCCAGTGGGGAACTAAGATCTCACGAGCAAGACCTCCCATTCCTCCCCAATTCAACAGAATAAAAAAGCAGAATCAAAGAGCACTAAGTTTTAAAATTTTCTAATGTTTCAGTGTTAGAAGCATCAATTATGTATCAGAGAAGAACTATTTTTTTTTTCATTTATTTTTATTAGTTGGAGGCTAATTACTTCACAACATTGCAGTGGGTTTTGTCATACATTGACATGAATCAGCATGGATTTACATGTATTCCCCATCCCCAAAGAATTATTTTAAGTGCACTTCTACTTTAACTAGTTTAATCATGAAGCGTTCCCAATTTTACATGAGTAAAATGAGCTAATAAGCCCAAGACCGACAGAGCTGAGATTTGAGTCTAGGAAATGTGTTATTAACCACTATTTAAATTCTTTTTCTGGATTTCACTTTATAAAACCAATAATAGGTCTCACGGCCTGCAAAACTACCCCAATTATAAGCCGTCAGGAATCACAATTGGTAAAAACATGATATAAAGCCAAATAATAAAGCCATGATATAATCAAACTGGGTAATTCTGAAATAATCTGGCCTTAGTTATAACTAACCTAAAATATATTTAAGCCTTCACAAGCAGAAAAAAAAATTATGAACCATACCTGGCCTCATTCGAACCCTGCGTATGTATTTTTCACCCAAAAAATTTCGGATTTCCACAAGAGAACCATTCTCCTGAATAACAACGTTGATGGGGAAGTGGGCATACACTGACCTCATCTTGTAACGGAAGCCCTAGGTTTAAATGAACAAACTATTAGTGATGCTGAGAAATTTTAACAGGATACCCAGTTTTTCTCTGAAAACCAAGTACGAACTGCCCCTTTGTAAAGAATATTTACGTATTTGTCAGGTCTCCCTCTTTGCACCTAGAAAAAAATGACCAAATCTCTAGAGACTTTAGAGGAAAATTTCCTCCCCCGTGACAAAGGAAACTGAAAACTGTTCTCACATACTCATGTCAAGGTTTTGTAAAGTAACCCACACCAAGCCTTATAACAACTGTACACAGAAACATGTTTCTGTTGTCTCTTTGCTGGACTGACGCACCCATGTTAATGAAAAGTGTTTTACCACCGCCTATGCCTTTCCAGGTGGCTCAGTGCTGAAGAAACCACCTGCCAGTGCAGGAAACATGGGTTTGATCCCTGGTGGGAAGGAAAACTGCAAACAACTACAGTATTTCTGCTTGGGAAATCCCATGGACAGAGGAGCGTAGTGGACTACAGTTCCCAGGGTTGAGACCACAGCAATTTGACCACCATGCCCACAGTAAACAACGCTAGTTTCTCATAAAGAACCCCAAAGCCCTTCATCTTGGGTATCAAGGCTAACATACTGAATTACTAAGGTACACCAGATAGCAAGAATTAAGGATACAAAGGCACCCACACTCAAGGAACCTACCCTGGTATGTGTTTAAGGAAATGGACATGGAGTTCAGAAATTAGATCCACCTTTTTCTATCCCCACAGGAGTAGTGACAGGCACCAAACAAGAAACCAAAGTCCAGCCCATGTGTCAATTTTCTGTAAACATGCACCTTGAAAATGAGACAATTTGTGTAGGAAAAAAAAAAAACCCCATCAGCAGACTATCAAAGACTACCTAGTCTTTACACACACACTTAATCCAAGACCCAGGAATGCCTATTGGACACATTCGCCAACATTACCTCTTCCCAAGTACTAGAGCTCAAGTACGTCACTAAATTACATGCATAATCTATTCTCTGCAGCAAACATTTATGTTGCATACGTGAAGTACAGCTGAGAAACTTCCCCTTCCAAGACAAAGTAGTCTGAGGAATCTGCTTACCAGTGTAACACCCTTGATCATGTTCTGTACATGGCTACAGATTGTGCGAACAGTGGCCAGTTCCTTTCTGTTTCCCCACCATTTGTCAACACGGAGCTGTAACAGAACAAAAAAACTTTAGAAAATTCTTTCCAGAAATAAGCAGGCTTAGAAAAGAGTCCATTTATTCACAACAATCACTGTAAATTCTAGTACTTGACCTAATTAAAAAGTACCACTTGCCAAAAAAAAAAAAAAAAAAAAAAAAACCCACAAAACACACACCAAAACACTATCTCAAACCTATTTTTATTACAGTGCATTACAGGTACACTATTTCACAAAGGAACGACAACCCAGCAACAAAAGTATGGTACAAACTGCATTAAACGTCAATCCTGGAATATTATCAGGTTTAAGACCCACTGCTGCGTCCGTAAGATTTTTACAAAACAATCAGGAAAAAAATAAACAACTTTTAACAGTATTATTAAGATCTGCTACGAATCATTACTACCCTGCTCCACCCTGGTCTGGAGTTTTCCTAATCCACTTTGTTCAGAATTTGATCTTCCAATTTTGTTAAAGCAACAACACTGAAACCAGCTACAATTCTGGATACTCAATTTGAAGCTGAAACACTGAATCTCAATTTCGTAATTTTAAAAGCAACCCATCTGTTACTCTTAAATCACAGCCTTCCAAACAAGCAACTGTGCCCCAAACGAACGAACAAAAAAACTCACCCTCTTCTTTTTCTTTCCAAGGAGACTGAGTTCTACATTGATGTGATTGAAGTCCCTCCGCAGGGTGCCTCTGGGGCCCTTCACAATAACTGTCCGTCCCTTCAAGGTAATGTCGACTAGGAGAGAACGTACTCGTGAGGCCTCGGAACAAGGTATAGAGCATGTAGTAAAGACGTAAGAAAAACGCAAACACCAAGTCTCGTACCATTTTCTGGGATGTCGACAGTCTGATTGCTGAGAATGGTCTTCATTCTGAAACACAAACACTTGGGGTAAGAAGGCCGCTAACGACCAAACTCCACCGCACGGAGCTCACTCCTACCGGAGACAGCCGGCAAAAATACGGGAGGACCCGAACCGACAGCTGCCCCCGCTGCGCCCTTATGGAAGGAGCAGCTCCCAGGCGCCTGTTATATGCCCAGCGGGCGAACTCCCCGCTCAGCGCATCCCTGGGAGTCCTGTCAAGCAGGCGCCATCCCGGCAAGACTGAGGAGCTGGGGTAGGCCTGAAAGCCCAGTACAGGGCTCGAATTCAAGCGCAACCAAATTCATATGGCGTTCGCTGTGTGGGAAGACAACCACGATAGAGTTCCCGAGCGCCGCAACCACGCCGCTGGCCTTCCCAGAGGCGATGGCTTCAGATTCCCAAAGCCCACCGATTACAGAAACCATCTCACCTCGCAGTAGATGCGGCAAAGAGAGAGCGTCTTTCGTCATCACGCTCTTATAGTCCGTATGAGGGCTGCGTGTTGGGTCATCAGTGCGCGACGCCGCTAGACTAAAGCAGCCAATCGCGGAGCTGCGCGAGTTCCACCGGGTCAGGGTGGTTCAGCTTGTCATAAGTCTGGCGACGGTTTGTCCTTTTCTCTTTTCCCGGGAATTACTGATTATTCGTCCTTGCTAGGAAAAAGAGAGATGTCTCTACGCTGCGGGGGCGCGGTCCGCACCGTGGGCCCCCGGGTGAGCAGCTGGGGAAGCAGGGTGCGGGCGTGGGGTAGAGGACTCCCATCCCTTTAGAGCGCCCAATAATGCCAGCATTTACTGAATGTTTACTTCTAGCCAGGTTTTATTCTAAACATTTTTCGTGTGGTATCTCGTCTAATTCTTTAGACACCCCCACGAAGTTAAGTCTCTGGTAGTGACTTGTTTGTAGGTATCTCTGGCTGACGCTAAGAGCTGTCTTTTTTTTTTTTTTTTTTTCTTGCATATCAGTGATTTGTACTAGACACCAGTTTGGACAATTAGAACCCCAAATCTGTGCTGTAAGCTTGAGCAGGAAACTTGGGCAAGAACAGTAGCAATCGGGCAGCATCTTAATAGGCACACTTTTTTTTTTTTTGGTACTCTTTGAATTTTATAGTGTTTTGGCTGTCTTGTCCATGTGTGTGTTCAGATCCAGAAGCTGATGGCTTCTTTCGGTCAACAGATACATATTGAGTGACTTGATCAAACACAGAGTGTAACGTAGAAAATTGGAATAGTAAGTTTGGTTTTCCTACTGCAAGTTCTCTGAAATCAGCTGGGTTAAACCTTGAGCCTCTTAGGTTTTAACACATGTGTTTATCTGGGGCAGAGATAATTTACTTCAGATTTTATTTAAACGTCCTTGAGTCGTCAGGAATAGAAAATTCAAATCATCTTCTCCTGTTATTGCAGTTTATACTTGAAAGACAGACTTTTTAGTCCTGATACGGGTAAAGTGTGGCATGTTTTGTTAGCCAGTTCCAGAAGTTTCCAAATCTATTTTAAATGTAGACAGAAATAGTTAATTCCTATTCTTCTTTGAGTCCTCCTTAACCTTAGATTCCAAGCTTCAACACAGAGCTTGTAAATAGTTTAACGTCATTTCTGAATCAGTTCTCTGGCTTACTTTTCCTTTTAGCTATGTAAATAGGTTAAAACTAAGTTATTACTAACTCTACTAAATAAATTTTTGCCTGGGAAATCCCATGGACAGAGGAGCCTGGTGGTCTATAGTCCATGGGGTTGCAAAAGAGTCAGACACGACAATGGCGAACTAAATAAATGTCATAATGAACCCTTTGTTTAGGTATTTGGAAGATATTTATGCAGCTCTGTTAGAGAAGTAAGTTCCTTGCCAGATGAAAAAAAGGAATTTTTACAGAGTGGACCAGACCTTCAAGAATTTATATCTGGTGATCTGGCCGACAAGAGTACTTGGGATGAATATAAAGGAAATTTAAAACGCCAGAAAGGAGAAAGGTAATTGAAAATTTGGGGTAATTTTAACATGCCATTTCTTCATAGTGCATCATTTTCAGATATAACCAAGCCTTGGAATACATTTTTAATCAGCTTGTTAAATTTAGCTAAAAATCATTAGAAAGAACTGATAACAAACATAGAATAGGCAAATGGGTGAAATTTTCTTTTCTGTCTGTCCTCTGACAGCCTTGCTAGGACTTAGCCATCCTACACCACCATCTCCCTTTTCTATCCCGCAACAAGTGTCTTCAGAGAGCAAAGATTATCACCTAGATATTAGTCTGTTACACTTCGATAAGGTTTTCATTGTTACTGGGTGCTGATGATCTAACTTGTTGTTTCTCCTAGTACGGATAGCGTGCCTTAGTTTAAAAGAATGGTAAGAGAATTTAGTGCAGAGTACAAATTGTTTTGGGAGATACTTTACCCAGCAACTTCTAGACAAGTGGGTGGAAGTCAAGGGAAACCTGAGGATATGTAGTCTTTACTCCAAATTTTAGATTTTTTTCCGTTTAACACCTATCAAAATCGAAAGTTCACTTATGGGGTCTCTTTTTAATCTGAACAAATACAGAACTTTTTGTCAGTATTATTCATTAGGGAATGAGATGTTTCAAAAGCTCCTTTTTTTAAATAAAGATGGCATTACTCTGTGCCTTTGCAAAACAAAGACATGAGCCAACTGCCCTGATAGACACAGTTATGAGTGTTTTCAGAGGTGGTTTGAGCAAATGTAAGTTTGATTTTGCTATCTTCTATGGCAGAAATTAAAAGAATCATTCCAGGATTTAAAATTCTCAATTGGTCATCATAATAGAGCAAAGTAACTTCAAAGCTCTGTGCTTATTTGGGAATGTATTTGTTAACATATAGTTATTTTGGCTTTCCGCAGGTTAAGACTACCTCCATGGCTAAAGACAGAGATTCCTATGGGGAAGAATTATAATAAACTGAAAAACACTTTGCGGAATTTAAATCTTCACACAGTAAGTTTTCTTACTGTTAAGGGTTAAGTATCCCTCTTTACCAGAAGACATAATTTTTCTATGCATATATAACTTAAAAATTAATAAAATACATATTGAAAATAGCAAGGAAAGTAAATAAAGACGTTTTCACATTACTCTCAGTAATGGAAATACATTTAAAAGTTATTTTCCCTGCAAAAAGAAGCAAAAAGTAATTGTATTTCTTAGCCACTTATTTAATAGTACAAACCAAAAAATTTTTTTCTGCATTTAGGGAATGAGAGTTTTTGTTTGTTTTGTATTACAAATTAAGTACATGCTTGTTGGAAAGGATATATTAAATGTGAAACATACTATATGAAATCTCAAGTGTTTGTTATACCACTTTAACTATTCAACATATACCCTTGTGGACTTTTTTATTTGTACATATAAAACATATACATTCATAGGTTTTAATTTAAAAATGGAATCCTAATATCTGTGTGGTTTGGCAGTTTAACAGCATTTCCAAATAGTGAATTTGCTAACATACTGTATAAAGAATGGAGAGTATAAAATGCCTGATGACTAATTTGCTCAATTGGTAAATATTTTCAGCCTGATTGTCTTCAGTCCCCTTTTACTCATAGGTGTGTGAGGAAGCACGATGTCCCAATATTGGAGAGTGTTGGGGAGGTGGAGAGTATGCCACCGCCACAGCCACGATCATGGTAAGGTACCCTCAGATTCCAGAGTTTTAGTCTGGAAACTGAAAGGAAATGTTTTATGTCTTTTTCCTACAAATGTGCATTTTGAGTCTCAAAAAAATATGATGATATTTTTTGTTACATATGAGTTTGTCGGGGGGAAAAACTTGACGGAATAATCTAGCTTGTTATGATCTCACCTTTCTCTGAATAAGTCTATTATTGATTCTTCCATCTACCTGATAGAATGTAATAATTAATTATGTGCTACCTTGAACTACCTCTTCTATTAATTTATATTTCCCTCTCACGGGCCTTTCAGTTAGCCCATGGTCATCTGATCTTGAGTGCGCTAAACTGGACTCTAGGAAGTAGGTTGGGCTCAGATCTCTGCAGAGCTTTATTCTTGGACCAACTGCTCGCCAAGGATATTCTTATCACAGAGGGTGGAAGGAGCACAAGAGGGCAAGCCAAGCATCCATGCACATTTGAGGCTTATGCTTGGTCATGCCTGCTGTCATTGTATTGGCCAAAATAAGTCACATGGCCATGCCAGACGTCAATGGGAGTAGAGGCCTAAGTTCCTCCCCCAGAAGGCGGGCCCTGCAAGTTACATGGCAATGGGTAAAATGTACGATCTTAATATGATGGAGTAAGAAATGGAATTCACAATGCAGTCTGCCATATTTATTCATACAAAGAGATTGAAATACTGGGTTAAATCTAAATTATTTCTAACTTAAAGTTCATACTTGTCTGGGGAATGTCTGATAAATGAGTTATACCAGCAAGAGACTTTTTACATGAGAAACTGGAGATTTGTGTGAGATAGAGCTCCTTCTAGAATAATACAGAGCCTGCGAGAGAGCTTTTCTAAGTGATACAACATCAATTCTTGAAGGAAGGAGTTATTCTGAATACTCCCTGATGGAAACCTCTGGTTTTACCCCTTACCTGCTCTCCCTGATCACTGTTGGTGCCTAGTGACTCCTGGGAAGTTTCATTGTTTCAGTAACATTCTGTGAGATGGTGGGCCTAATTACCATTGCAGTGAGTTCCTTCTGAGCAGTTAAAGGGGAAGAATTGCTTTCTGCCTCAAATCAAAGCCCCTAGCATAGGGCCTTGAAACTCCAGTGGCTCCGAAACACCCACAGTGGCTGTGTTTGGCCAGGGGTAGAGCATGGTAGTGACCCGCGGCAGCAGAAGCAGTGTCCTGGGGAAACAGCAGGGAATCCCGTTACCAACTTTTTATGTGTTTTTCCTCTTTCATCTGTTTAACAAGAGAGAGCTATGCCTTCTGTTTAACTTCCACAGAGATCTGCATATTAATAGGTTAATTGAGTATTTTGTTTCTTTTAACATCATTTTTGTTAAAATTAAATAGATATAAAAGAATTTTTATAACCTATGTGTAAGTTATAAAGACTACCAATACACAGATACCCTGATACCTCCAGTTTGAGAACAGAACATTAGTCTTTCATCCCTTCTAGAGCCCATCCCCTTTCTTTTTCCCGTTAAGGGAACTTATTCAGAGTTTATTGTTTCTTTTCTTTCTTGTTTTACCATATATGTTTGTATTCCTTAACTATATTGTTTAGCTTTGAATGTTTCAAATTTCACATAAACGGTCAAGATTTGTTCATTCCTTGCGGTTTTATTCCCTTACAATTATATTCTTCAAAGTCATCTGTTTATTTGATTTAAACTGTAACATCTCTATTCTAGTTGATGGGAGACACATGTACAAGAGGTTGTAGATTTTGTTCTGTTAAGACAGCAAGAAATCCACCTCCCCTGGATGCCAGTGAGCCCTACAATACTGCAAAGGCAATTGCAGAGTGGGGTCTGGATTATGTTGTCCTGACGTCTGTGGATCGAGATGGTTAGTGCGTCATCATTACCTCTTCTTAAATTGACTGATTAAACTGTGACGTCATTTTAAGCAATGGATTCTCTTGATTCCAGATTTGCCTGATGGAGGAGCTGAGCACTTTGCAAACACTGTATCTTACTTAAAGGAAAGGTACTTGTTTTTGCATTTGCTTGTGTGGTTTAGGGACTTTTGTTGACCCATATTATATTCAGTTTATTTAAGGTTTTTTTAAGGTTAACTTAAAGCAATGGTTACTAACCTTTTGCAGGGGGTTATAAACCCGTTTTATAATCTGCTGGAAATTAAAGTCTTCCCAGGACTGAATTGAATAAATCATCATCTAGGAGAAGTTAGGATGAGATAAACACCCACATTGTTAAAATATGTAATCTTGATATAAATTTTATTTATGTTGACATGCCCTGGGGATTTTAGCCATAACTCACATTTTATTAACATGTAGATTTTAAAAGCCTTTCAAAAGGAGTTTATGCTTATTTCCTACAGCTCAGAACTAGTCTGGCACCTAGCACACTCACTAAATGTTTTCGCCATGTTTCCCCCAATATTTTCTTTTTTTTTTTAATAGTTCATTTTTTAAAAGTTTGGTTGTTCCACCCATAAAATTGATTTCACAAACTACCAGTGGGTCTCTCCTTGCAATTAAACAGTGAGTTATAGGATATGTTCTTTCAACATCTCTTGAATCCATGAGAGGGTGTGATGTGGTGCTTTCTACATCTGTTCCCTCATAAAACAACTCCAAAAAAAGTTGCAATTTGGTTTGTGAAAAAGCTTATTATTTCTACTGCTTGTCAAAGGGAACAGCTCTATTACCTAGTTCATACTTTAATGCTTGAATGCATAGTATAAATAGATTAATGTTTAGCTTGTATTTCATTTAAGCAAAGCTCATGACTCAGCAACTCAGAAGACAGGTTTTGTTTTTTTTTTCTTTAAGAAGACAGGTTTTAAAGCCCAGAGCACTTGTGAAATATTTTACCTAGAGGAAGGGAGGAGGGCACTATTCATGATTTTTTTTTTTAATTCATGAATTTTAAAAGACATCAAAATTAAGGCAATCACTTTATATTCACATAAGAGGTATCCCAATTTACTTTCTTAAAAATATAAGTTATTTTATATTTAATACTTTATATTTTAATTTCTTAAAACAACTTTTAATAAAGTTTAAAAGTGTATGTAATCCCAAAATTTATTCTGATCATTATTTGCAAGCAGATGTGTTTTAACCACAGTGTACATATTGTCTGATGTTCTAGGTTGTCACTGTTTTCATTTAACAGTTCATATATAAGCGTTTGTGTGTTCGTGCTGTTCTTGGCAAGATTCTGAAGCTTACTGTGTTGAAACTGATACTGAATGCATACTGATTATTACTATTTTGAGCAAGTTTTGTCAATTCTTTTCCTCAGTGTGATACCTATCTCTTTTTCACTATAGGAATCCAAAAATTCTTGTGGAATGTCTCACCCCTGATTTCCGAGGAGATCTTAAAGCGATAGAAAAAGTTGCCCTGTCAGGATTAGATGTATATGCACATAATGTAGAAACAGTTCCAGAATTACAGAGGTGATTTCATGTATTGAGTAATGTTGGGAAGTTTGGAGGGTCAAATCTGCTATACTTTTTCTCAGGGGAGAACGTTGTAATTTTATAAAGTGAACTCCCTTTTTTAAACAAAAATGTGTTTTTTTAAAAAGTGTTTTTTAAAAAATATATATATGTCTAGTACAGAAAAATTAGAAAATATAGCCAACAAAAAGAGTATCAACATCATCCATAATATTTCCACCTGGTAATATCAATTACTTGCATCTCAGTGTCTATATACTTACATATGTATACACGTGTGTATATGTTTTGGTATACACATACAAACATAACTAGCATCCTTTTTTCGGTAAAGTATTGCAAGTGCTGATGAGCTGGGTTTTTTTCCCCAAAGAACAATTTTCAAAAAGAAAAATATTACAAAAGAGCAACTGATTGTAGTTCTAAAAAAAGACATAACAATGCATTTAAGAATAATATATGCAGTAAATGATGCTGAAGAAAAAAATGGTATTATTCAGATGTATTTTAAATCTCTTAAAAAGTAGGTACTGTGCTTTCTTACTCTCCTAGTAATTTTAGTAGTTAGAAATAATTACAGATTGTTACTGTGTCAATAACTATTTATATTTCAGAAAAAAAGAAATGTTCAGGCAAGATTATACTTTCATTTTCATTATTTTAGTAAAGCATTTGGTAGTGATTTTATTAGCTTCTACACGTTATTCTGTGTCATAGAAAGAAGTACGATAGACAATAACCAGCATTTCTGCTAAATCATCAGTGTATTAGGGAGCATAATTTAAATTCAGTGGAGAAATACTTTCAAAAAGTATTTTCCTTATTACCAGTATTGTGGTTACTTTTAAATTCATAAATATGTTCCCTCTTCTCCTTTGTGAACTGGTCTCTGATTAACAATAGCAACATAGCAGTGGATCAATTATACAGAATAAAGGTACATTAGAGTTCAAATGACCCACTCCAGTATTCTTGCCTGGAGAATCCCGGGAACGGGGGAGCCTGGTGGGCTGCCGTCTATGGGGTCGCACAGAGTCGGGCACGACTGAAGCGACTTAGCAGCAGCAGCAGCAGCAGCAGCAGAGTTCAAATGAATGCAATTTAACGTCAGCAACTGTGTCCTTTGGGCCTTTATCCATTTAAAACTTGGTGGTTTGTCCCCTGTTGAAGTCAAGCGCACAACCTGTTCCAACCTTGTCATATTGTATGATCCCACCACCAGTGGTGCCAGTTTCTCTGTTTTCATTTAAAAACATGATCCTTTCCAGTGAAAATTCCAGAATCATGCATTTTTTTTTAAACCTAAGAAATGTCAATGCTGTATACTTACCAGCAGAGGGCAGCTTAGTCTTTAGAAAAGAAATGAACATGAAAGTTTCAATCCTCTGAAATGGTTCAGGTTAAACAGTTTTTTCTTTGTTCAGTATCGAGATTTTCTTCCATGTTTTCCCCCTTTCTCTCAGTTACCCTTATAATCACTCATTCTCTGGCTTTAGAGTCCTGGTTTCTCAATGAGTAATTCATAAACTGAATTACTTCATTCATTACTTCTGTTCTCATTTTCTCTGCCCTAGGCTTGAAAGGCCTGAAAAGTCAACAGAACTGAGGGCCTAGTGAAGCCTTATTTTCTTTCCCAAAGTAACAGTTCGACATTTGTGCACAAATGCTACCATTGAACCATATGATGCAGCGTGATGTCCAGAGTGTACCTCCCGGCCTTTCAGGTTGCGTGCATGATTATGTACTTAGTTGAGCTTGTGGTTATTCTTGCTGACAACAGCTCTTCTGTTTTCAAGGAAAGTCCGTGATCCCCGGGCCAATTTTGACCAGTCTCTACGCGTACTAAAACATGCCAAGGAGGTTCGACCTGATGTTATTTCTAAAACATCTATTATGTTGGGTTTAGGTGAGAATGACGAGCAAGTATACGCCACGATGAAAGGTAAAGAAACTGAAAAATGAAAACTCTTTTCCATTTAACTTGAGTGATAGCAGGAACCCACTTTGGAAGACCTGGTATGCTTTCTCCATAGTCCCAGTGAAAGTGCTAGTGAGAACAAAAAGTCAGGATATGGTTATAAACAGCAGCATAGAAAGGAAAGGAAGTATGTTTTCTTAAAACTTTATGGAATGATGTACAGGAGGCTTAGAATATGAAATTTGCATCCCGTTTTATTTCTTACCTTTTCATCAACTAAAAACATGATTTTGTCCACTTTTCTTGTCCAGTCAAGACAATTTTTGAGTGCCAGCCAGGTGCCAGCAGCTCTGTCAACCACTGACAGCTCAGAGATGACTAAGATGAATCCAGGCCTTTGAGAAAGTGCTTACTTACAGCATTGTTACATAGCATGGTGTGCTTTCGACTTTTAGTCTATTAAATCCGTCTACTTTGCAATTTTAAATTTTAAAATATAAAAGTTTTTATTTTACCTGAAGGTCCTTGGCCAATGTGCAGCTATCTGTTGGTTCAAACAGTAATAAATTCAAATAATAATTAAAAGCTACCCTTCACAGCAATGCATACAGATAGCACTGTAAAAAAAATCTGCGCATATAACGTGTGCTTTTTTTCCTATAGCACTTCGTGAGGCAGATGTGGACTGTTTGACTTTAGGACAATATATGCAGCCAACAAAGCGCCATCTTAAGGTACAACTACCATAAGTTCCCAAATATTTCTTGGTAGTTTGAATTAAATCTTTATTTTCTATAGGTATAATTCAGAAGCTGCTGGCTTTTTAGTGTAATGTTCCATGTATATTTCTGAGTTCCACTTCCATTTTATTATCTGCATAAAGCGGCTATGCTGGCATTTATTTGCTGCCCTCAATACAGTCTTACTAAAGTGACCTATAGGGAAAAAACTTTTAAGTTGGGAAGTACATTCATTTCACTCCTGCAAATCTTGTGATTTGTTTTAGAATTATATGAGAGCCAGAGGTGAAGTAAGAAAGAAAAGCCAGTCTCCCTATTTCTGTATCAGACATTCATTCATTCATTCAGAAAACTCTTCTTGAGTAGTAGCCATGTGCCAGACACAGTACCGAGCAGAAGACACAAGCTAAGTAGCACAGTCTTATCCTTAGGAATCTTATAGGCGTGACCGATCCTTTCCCTTTTGGAATAGCTAGTGTCATACAAAATTGATGTTTCCCCTTCACAGTAATTCACCACCATTATGCTCTGACCAAGTAGCCAACAAGCAGATTTTCATATAGAACTAAAAGGATTTAGGAAAATTCTAGAATCTAGAATTAATTCTTTAAATCTAGGTTGAAGAATACGTTACTCCTGAAAAGTTCAAATACTGGGAAAAAGTAGGAAATGAACTTGGATTTCATTATACTGCAAGTGGCCCCCTGGTGCGTTCTTCATACAAAGCAGGTAAGTTAGATGGGAGGGCGTGCTTCTGTTAAGTCCATAATTTTAGTGAAATTTTACTAGCTGCAGTACAACTTTTTACCTTTGTAATTTCAGCTCTTATTTTGATAAATAGCTTGAGCTGACTTATGAAAATAAGTTTTTCAAGAGAGAAAGTCATGTGGTAATGGCCATTACAAGAATAAACAGCTAGTTATTTTTTGGATATATCCAAACTGTGTTATACTATTAATGATCTTTTTAATGACTGTTATACATTGAAGTCTAAATTCTAGATATGTTTAAATTAGGCATAAATTCTGATTGTAAAAATTAATGTTTATGTGTTAGTAATATTCAGTGTGTTCTGTAAAGAAATTGAAGACTTTTTTAACGAACTAGCAACAGCTTATCTTGGTTATAAAACCCAAGAATTTAGTCAGACGCTGATTGACAGACTGTGGGAACTTTGGAAATCAATAACTGTAAATGATTTATTCTTATTCAAGCAGTGCTGTTGGCAAGCTAAAAATATATATAAAGGATAGGACCAGCAGCAGCTTCCAAGGTGGGTGGTTAAAGTAGAATATCATTTGAAAGGAGTTTTTGTTAGTTTTCTGTTTTGTTTTTTGGTAAGGCAAATTTCTCATTTTTCAAGTAAGTGAATTATAAACCTTTTAATTCCTTTAAAACTACTGGTAAAAGAAACAAAGCCTTAGATTCAGATGATGGATTAGGATCTGATAATATGGTTCTACTCTTATCAGATTTAGATAAAGCATGGGACAGCAGGGATTATTCTCTCCATTACTTGGCTAGGTTATGAGCCTTGGGATTCTTGGTGATTGTGTACACATCACAGTCATTGCATTCCACTGAGAAGATCCCCTGGAGAAGGAAATGGCAGCCCCCTCCAGTATTCTTGCCTAGGAAGTCCTATGGACAGAGGAGTCTGGTGGGCTACAGTTCATGGGGTCACAAAGGAGTCAGACACAGCTGAGTGACTAAGCAACAACATTAAGATGACAGAGTTCATCAGACTCCTCGTGATGTTGGGCCTGGAGTACTGAGCTCTGGCATTGAGCACTGAGCCGTGTGTAGCCAGAAACAAAGTGGAACCTTAGGACTGAAAAGTGAAAGTGCCCCCCCAAGCAGCTAGTTAGTGCACAGATACGCCCGCGAGTGTGGAGGGAGTGCAAGCCCGTTACGACTGGGGAGCTCTTGCTTCCCTAGAGGGGAATAAGCTAAAGGGATTCCATCAAACGAAGTTGCTCAACTGCAGCAGGGTCTCTGTTACATAAACGCCGAATCTAGGCTAATAATGTAGCCGACTTGCTCTCTGAAATAACGGTGCCAACCAACAGCAGTACTTTATCAGTGATGAGGAATAGATACTGCACATAAAGTAGAATAGATGCACCTTAGATACGATAGGGTCACCCTTTATAATATGTTGGGTTACTCGAAAGAAAAATGGTAGGAATTGTAGCGATAGAAGAGTCTTTTAAGATCATTACGGTTGAGGAAAGAGCCAAAGATGTGGGGGATCTGTGGGGTTAGAAAATTACTGCCGTTGAGATTGGAGAAGAAGGAAACACCAACGAATACAGGAGTCTTCTTTAAAGGGAAACATGGAAGTATAATTATTCTGAAATCTATACCTTAAATTGATATTAATATATTTTTATTTTTCCTAAATTAGGTGAATTTTTCCTGAAAAATCTAGTGGCTAAAAGAAAAACAAAAGCCCTGTAACATCTAACAAGACATTCAAGATCATGATAATTTTGGAAGTTTCACTCCAGTTGTTAACAGAAGTGCTAGTAGAATGCCTAGAATTCAGTGGATACATCCTAACTTTTTTTGTTTTAAGGAAAATGTCAGTAAGCTATGCATATTTAATTATAATAATTCATTCATCTTTTAGCATGTCTTCTTTGTCCCAGTAAACAATTGCTTGTTGTGATGTAATCGTAAAATGTCTTTGTAAGAGTTTATCATTGAATAGTACATTAAAAACTTTTAGAAAATCTTTTGAGCCTCTGTATGTCATTGTTACCTTTCATTTCTGGAAAATGACATTCTGTGATGAAACAATATAGACTTGAGATTATGTCTGTTTAGCAAAAACATCATTGGAATAATTTAGAAAGGCTAAAGAATTTCAGTGTTGACCCTTCATATAGATAACAACTATTTTAGACCTACAACATAGTTCTACATGATTACTTGTTTAGGACTTCTATGAAGCCAAGACTGTGATGTTGTCCAAGATGGGGAAATATAACCTAAGAATAAAATATTAACTCTGATTTTATAATATTTGCTACATCACATGCACTGTCCACTTTTATTCAACTCACATCATTTTGGTGAGGTGATTGTGTTTTATCATAGTAATGACCTGAATGAGGAATTTCTTTCCTAAGTAATAGAACTCAAATTCATCCTTTGACTCTGAATCCTGTTTTTCTACCACATCTCACAAGGGACATATTTAGATGGCAATATGGTAAAATATGTAATGTGGATAGCCAGTTCTATTTTGAAGTTTTAACTATATGAACTAATTTTTTTATAATGTGTATAACTTTGAAAATTACATTTTAATTTAACTCAGGGGAGCCATATATATTTTGACTCACTTTCCTTATGCTGTGTGTGCTCAGTCGTGTCCAATTCTTTGGGACCCCATGGACTGTAGCCCACCAGGCTCCCCTGTCCATGGGATTTTCCAGGCAAGAGGACTGGAGTGAGTTGTCCTTTTCTCCTCCAGTCACTTTCCTTATAGATCCTAATAAGTTTCGCTGTGTAAAATTAACCCCATCAGCTTTCCATCTTAACATCTGTGGCAACTACCCTCCTTAAAATATATTGTTTCACAGGAAAAAAATGGATTAATTTTCAGACTCTGATTTTGTAACATAATCTGCTGTTACAATTGCCCAGGGTAGGCAAGCGTTAAGAAGAGTTATTTTGTCAAGTGAAATTTTTGGTATCCCAATGTAAAATAATTAAAATAGCATTTTATTAGCTTAAATGTAAAAGTTTTGGGGGGCTCCAAAATCACTGCAGATGGTGACTGCAGCCGTGAAATTAAAAGATGCTTACTCCTTGTAAGAAAAGTTATGAACAACCTAGACAGCATATTAAAAAGCAGAGACATTACTTTACCAACAAAGGTCCATCTAGTCAAGGTTATGATTTTTCCAGTAGTCATGTATGGATGTGGGAGTTGGATTATAAAGAAAGTTGAACACCAAAGAACTGATACTTTTGAACTGTGGTGTTGGAGAAGACTTGAGAGTCACTTGGACTGCAAGGAGATCCAACCGGTCCATCCTAAAAGAGATCAGTCCTGAGTGTTCGTTGGAAGGACTAATGTTGAAGCTGAAACTCCAATACTTTGGCCACCTGATGCGAAGAGCTGACTCATTTGAAAAGACTGTGATGCTGGTAAAGATTGAAGGCAGGAGGAGAAGGGGACGACAGAGGATGAGATGGTTGGATGGCATCACTGATTCAATGGACAAGAGTTTGAGTAAACTTGGCAGTTGGTGATGGACAGGGAGGCCTGACGTGCTGCAGCCCATGGGGTCGCAAAGAGTTGGACACGACAGCGACTGAACTGAACTGAACTGATGTTAAAGTTTTAATTTGTAAAAACTGCTCATAAAAATAGTGAATGGTAAAATGAAGCTATTTTGATACAGATGTGAAATTGGGAGTCACGGGTGACGATTGCGGTCTTTTGTCAGATCTTAATAGTCCGTTTACTCCTTTGTTTTATTTTGGTTACATAATCTTGAGAAAAATCCTGTCTGGTACAGCTAACTAATAATACATTATTTTAAAAATTTAAAACATCTTGCAATCTCAGGATACTCTCCAGTTAAATAAAATCCAAAAACCTGAAAGGTGATTAGCAAGAAATGTTCGATCTTTTGAATTTGTTATTCCTGCACTCATTATTGCATAATTGACCATTATATCAAGAGTAGAATATGTGACCAAATCTAGATCTTCCTAGACATTTGAGTGTGGTGAGCATGTACTGTAGAGATGTAGGTATAGTCCTTTGTACAATTGCACAAGAATGGGCAGGCCTGAATTTTAAAAGGCCAGGACAGAGCTTTGACCTTGCTAAACAATGATGCATTAAAAAACAAGCACATTTAAATGCACAGACATGGCAGGCAGCCTATACAAAATTTCTGACCGGGTGGTACAAGTTAATGCATCAGTAGTCTCCAATGTGTAAAATTTGGTATGTGCCCATTTCAATGTCTGATCCTTTTCTTTCTGTAGCACAAATGATATTCTTTGCAAAAGTGAAAATGATAGATGGCACATAGTTTTTAATCACAAAGTCAACTGATACAGAGGTCTCTGCCCCATTTCCAATGACTAAATCAGCCAACCCCCAAACCTAATTCCTGTCTGGTCAGATATAATCATTAATGAGACTAGTTTGAACAGGAGTTTCTCTTACTTGAAGCTGAACGCATTAATTTATTTTTGTCATACCTCACAGCTTGCAGGATCTTAGGTCCCTAACTAGGGACCTAACCCATGGTCCCCTGCATTGGCAGGTGGATTCTTAAGCACTGGACCATTAGGGAAGTCCTGAGATTTTTATATATCCTTTTGTATTGATTTGGAATTTTTAAAAATCATGTCCATGTATTATTTTCAATTTTAAGTTCTAGTTAATAATCTGCAACGCTGGGCTGGAAGAAGCACAAGCTGGAATCAAGATTGCCGGGAGAAATATCAATAACCTCAGATAAGCAGATGACACCACCCTTATGGCAGAAAGTGAAGAAGAACAAAAGAGCCTCTTGATGCAAGTGAAAGAGGAGAGGGAAAAAGTTGGCTTAAAGTTTAACATTCATGCTGGGAGCCAGCTCACGAGATCCCACCCATGACAAGGTCATGAGGAGAAAACCTGACAGGCAAGGCGGATCAGGTTTTCAGGGATTCTGAAAAACTGCCCCCAGCGCTCACCTTAAAGATGATATCTGTCTTTCTGATGCTTGCTTCAATAGACTACTCCCTAATTTCTGTGACACAGGCAGAGGGCCTTCCCCGATCTCTTTCCAAGTAAGAATCAATTTAGAACTTTAATTAATAACTTTCCCAGGTGGTGGTATTTTATAAGTATCCAGGGTGAAAGGAGTGTTTTAATTTAAACTCCTTTGCTGGTATTTTAGTTTGTTTGGAAAATGCATTTATGCCTTTGGTACTAATATGCATGACTGCTCATAATACCCTAATCATAAAACAGCATAAAGAACCTGATCATATAAAGGCCCTAATGGACATAGAGCCCTTTGGGGGGTGAGGAAGCCCTATTAGAAAACACAAGAAAAATTATTCTAAAAGTGGCTATTGGGTTAACATTTGCTTGCTGTGTTTTTGCTCTTAATGTGCTAAGGTTGTGTTATGGAAACCATTGTTAGTATAGTTAAAGATCTAGAAAAATAAGAGCTTAGCCCTAGTGTGGTAACAATGAGGTGGTTGTTAATTGTCACCCATGAGTGCTAGGCAGAGGCTGCCTCACCGAAGTCTCAGAGTCAGTGTGGGGTAAACTTCTTAGATAAACGCAACTGACAACTTCTGCAGAAGGATTAGTTTTTATGTTAACAAGGTTATACTTCTACTCTGTACTGTTGCCCTGTGAGACTGCTACCTTTCGGTTAAGGTCACCAGAGAAATGGAAAACAGGTTTACATTCACCTGACTTGCATAAAATGTCAATAGGCCCCAAGGCCAGAAGATAATGTACAAGACCCTCATAAACAAAGAAGTATGCAGACAACACCCTGGTTTTGGGAAGGACAAGCTGATGTAATGTTAAACTATCTTCCCCTTAGAAATGTACTAACTTAGGGTATAAAAGCCACGGTAAAAAATAAAGCATTGCCAGACTGCCAGACCCTGCAAACACCCTCGTCTGGTCACTCTCTCTCCCTTTCCCTTGCAGACTTGGCCCTATCAAGGCTGGTCTCACGTGTCTTCTCTCCTTCTCTCGCCGATGCCATTCATCCCGAGGGTACCCCCTGGATCTTGGCGAGGCTGGACCCCGGCACATTCAGAAAACTAAGATCATGGCATCTGGTCCCATCACCTCATGGGAAATAGATGGGGAGACAGTGGAAACAGTGTCAGACTTTATTTTGGGGGGCTCCAAAATCACTGCAGATGGTGATGGCAGCCATGAAAGTAAAAGACACTTACTCCTTGGAAGGAAAGTTATGACCAACCTAGATAGCATATTAAAAAGCAGAGACATTACTTTACCAACAAAGGTCCTTCTGGTCAAGGCTATGGTTTTTCCAGTGGTCATGTATGGATGTGAGTTGGACTGTGAAGAAAGCTGAGCGCCGAAAAATTGATGCTTTTGAACTGTGGTGTTGGAGAAGACTCTTGAGAGTCCCTTGGACTGCAAGGAGATCCAACCAGTCCATCCTGAAGGAGATCAGTCCTGAGTGTTCATTGGAAGGACTGATGTTGAAGCTGAAACTCCAGTACTTTGGCCACCTGATGCGAAGAGTTGACTCATTGGAAAAGACCCTGATGCTGCGAGGGATTGGGGGCAGGAGGAGAAGGGGATGACAGAGGATGAGATGGCTGGATGGCATCACCAATTCGATGGGCATGAGTTTGAGTAAACTCCGGGAGCTGGTGATGGACAGGGAGGCCTGGCGTGCTGCGATTCATGGGGTCGCAAAGAGTCATACACGACTGAGCAACTGAACTGAACTGAACTGAATAATCTCAGAAGTACTAGCTAATAAATCTTTTTTTTGCCAACCAAGTGGCTTGTGGGGTCTCTCATCCCCAACCAGGGATTGAACCAGGGCCACTGCAGTGAAAGCCCAGAATCCTAAACATGGGCCACCAGGGATCTCCCCTAAAAATAGAAACATTGTATCAATTTAAAAAAACACAAGGTCTTTAATTGTCTTAATAGGGAAAACAATGGTAACCACCTTCTGCAACCTTTCACATAAAGGCTTCCAATTGCTGTAAGTTAACCTACCAAATCGCTGGGGCTTCTTCCCCATTACAGCCAGGTTACATAGCTCTGTTGTCTTTTCCTCCACTTACCAGTTCTCCCACCTTCTAATCAGTAACCATGTTTTACACATTAGTTATCAATCCTAGGCATTGAAGCATCCTGCAACTTAAAACCAGTGCCTAATTCAACTGCTTTAACAAGACACCTTTGCGTTATAATCCCTTTATTAGACTTTAAGATTATTAACAGAATATAAGAATATTCTCAAGCAGAAATGAAAAGCAGTTCTAATTAATAAACCCACTCCCACTTCAAAATCTTATAAGAGTGAGGGATCATCTACTGTCTCCTTCTGTTGTTTTGTTTTCTTCACTCTAGTATGCCAACTTTTTCGTAAAGGGTCAGATAGCAATATATATGAAACCATTTAACATGTAATCATGTAAAACTGTAAAAGACATCTTAGCTCACAGGTTGCTGGCCAGGTTTAGCCCATGGGATTTTGTTTGCCAATACCTGGTCTGTTCTCTCCCTTTCTTGCATCATTTGAAAGAACGACATAATGCCCCTTTCTCAAAAAAGGAGTGATTTTCCTGTCTAATGTCAAACTGTCATGACTTAATTAGTTACTTGCACTAGACAAAAAATAACGCAGACACTGGCTTATGAAGAATATTTTATTTATTTGATATCTGTACAGATGTCTCTGTCTTCATCTTTAGCTCTGTATTATTGAACTGCAAAATTCCTAAAGGATGAGATTTGTTTCACTCAATTTGTATACTCTCAGCAGAGCACAAGCATCAAATGGACATATTTCAATAATGATAAACACAAGAGAAAATCAAATATAAGTCAACAAGAGACATAAGAAAAAAAGCAGATGAAAACATGAAATTCCTTATTTTAGGATTATGCTACACATTAACTTGTAAAATCTACTTCTGTAAGTTTATATATGAGATTATATTGATTTTGTTACTTAAAATGGGAGAAACTGCAGTGAGTCACAGGAATAAAATACAAAGTAAAAGTAACAAATATTTTGGGCTTTTAGACTAAGAAACAATGATTGCTGAGGAAAAACAAGAGGAATGATAACAGATTTTCATTTCACTACACTGATTTTTTCTTCATGTTTTTTAAAAAAACATTACCTTTTAGTCTTATTTGGATTGACTGGAAATGGGCAGTGGACTAAAGAAACCATTGATACAGCCCATTAAAACAAAAGGAGCAAAAGACCAAAAACCAAACCATATTTGCAGGGTTACTTCTAACGTGGAAGCATAGGCAGAAAAAAAGCACAAAGGCCGCATTCTGTCCATGGCACCCTCCTCAATTCAGGGGGACGAGAAATGGCATGGAAAACATCTCACCCAATTAATCCAGAAAACCTTAAATCTCCGTGACACTATTGGAAAGGTTAACAGGTTTAGCCAGTATTTAGCACAGCCATTTCATGGCAGAAGATACATGGGGGTGGGGGTTTAGTCACTAAGGTATATGTCTGCTGCTGCTGCTAAGTCGCTTCAGTCGTGTCGACTCTGTGCGACCCCACAGACGGCAGCCCACCAGGCTCGCCCGTCCCTGGGATTCTCCAGGCAAGAATACTGGAGTGGGTTGCCATTTCCTTCTCCAATGCATGAAAGTGAAAAGTGAAGGTGAAGTCGCTCAGTCGTGCCTGACTCTTCGCGACCCCAGGGACTGCAGCCCACCAGGCTCCTCCGTCCATGGGATTCTCCAGGCGATAGCACTGGAGTGGGGTGCCATTGCCTCATCTGAAGTTGTGTCTGACTCTGTTGCAATCCCATGGACTGTAGCCAGCCAAGTTCCTCTGTCCATAAAACTTCCCAGGCACGAATACGGGAATGAGTAGTCACTTCCTACTCCAGCAGTGAAAATACATACTTAATGACAAATAGATAAACCACTGATCAGCAAAACTGAGGAGGGCCACTCCCATTACCATTCAATATTGAAGTACTGCCTAAAGATATTTTATAAAGTAAAAAGTGTTTGAAGTTTAATTTTACAAAAATTGACACCATTAAAACCAACATGATTATTTGCTACTCATCCAATCACTGAGGTAACAATATTATAAAAATATGTAAAAAAAATTCTAGTTTCATAATTACCAGATATGCTAATTCCCATATAGCTAGTATAAATTTGATTATTAAAAAAATAGTTTTGTTTCCTTAAAAGCACTTGATTCATTTATCATTTAATATCAGATAGGTATTTGCTATCTTGAAGTACCAAAAAAGTTACAAATAAAAATGGCAATGTCTATACTCTGGGTTTCTTGTTGGGCATATCCTGAAGACTAAACTTTGGAATTTCACCAGAAGGAGCATATGGAATTCTCTTTGAAGACACCTTCTTGCCAATTGTTTCAATCTAGAGGAGAAAAGAAAATTGTTAACAATACCTAAATGTAAAACTTTGTGATATAGTGTAATAAGGGCTAAAACCCAGATGATATTTTTTTTTCTTTTTAAAGGCAGAAAAAGTTTCTCAGGTTGTGTGGGTTGCTATGAAAGACCTTTGGTTCCTTCCATATTTTTTGTTTCTAGAGTCAGTCTACATTCCCCTTTTCATATTCATATCTAGACATGCTCACTCCTCTCATTCTTAACACCAGACTCCCTCAAACAGGATAGGAGATTACATGCCACTGTGGCTTTAAAAGCATATGCAAAAGCAATCAACAGGCCAGCTTCCCATTAACTCACATTCTTTCAAACTCTATTCTAATGTCTTTTTTCCCTTATTCTAAAAAACTTGCATAAGTTATAACAGCACAGTTATTAGAAGTTCAGGCTTCAGAGTCTGAAAGGCTCCAGCTGGAATCCTGACTGATAATCGCTGATACCTAAACTCTCGAAGGTCTTTCTTCCTTGTTCGTAAATGGTGTTACCCACCCACCTCAAAGGGGCTGTGGTAAGGATTCAACTAGATAAAGCGCTCAGGACAGTGTCTGGCATTGTCAACCTTCAAGAAATCAATAGTAGGCAGTTCTCATTTTGCATATTACATTTAAAACTTCTCCCCCTCTTTCCAAAATTATCAATATTATCTTTAAAGACACTGTTTCTTTAATAATAGTTTATCTCCTCTCTACAGCAGAGATAAATATACTACATAATTTTCGGAAATGTATTTTTAATCAAAAAGGACATTTTTAATTAAAAATCAATATTTAATGCTGACGCACACCACAAAGGGCTTCTGCTTTGTTTACTTATTTATTTGGCTGGCCCAGGTCTTGGCGCCAGCACTCAAGACTGATCTCCACTGCTACACGCAAGGTCTTCAGCTGTGACATTCGAACTCTGGGTTGAGGCGTGTGGAATCCAGTTCCCTGATCAGGAGTTGAAACCAGGCCACCTGCGCTGGGAGTGTGGCGTCTCAGTCACTGGACCACCAAGGAGCTCCCTCTGCTTTGTATTGATCAACTGTCTTATTTAATGGCTTATAAATTCTCTTTATTTAGCAATTCCAGTCTAATAGTTTTTTTTTAACCCTTACTAGGAATAGTTAATTATAAGAGGTCAAACTCATTTAAAATATATATCTATATACGTCTCTGCCTTTCTCCTCTAGATGAGTAAAACAGCAACGAGAGAAAATGTTTCTGTGCCTGCAAATAATGTTTAAAAAACAACACTGCTAAGCTAAGTCATGATTGGGAAAAAGAGTCCCATTACTCACAAGGAGGGGCTGGATAGAAGGGTCCCCAGGGTCTTTGATGGAATGTGAACGGACAAGGATGTCATCTGATTTGTGTTGCAAGATAATCTCTCATGACTGGGGAGTGGGCACTGAATTCTAACTAAGAAGGATCTTCAACAAGTCAGTGACAGGTTGAGAGAAACAGATCAGATATTGTGAACGGGGAGCGAGGTCTTATCAGTACCTCTCCAAGACACAGCTGGTGCTAAGCAGACACATATAGCCAACTCTAAACACTGCCACGCTCTGCTCTGCTCTGGGACTCTGCTGACAACAAGCTCCGGGCAGATTTCTTTATCCTCCCAACCTCCCCCTTGGGGCCCAGACTCCACGTCTGCTGAGGAAATGGAAAGTGGCTCTTTCTTATTAATACCTTTGAGGCCCCTGGTAGAACTGAAGAGGATGCAACATAAAATGTACTGTGCCGCTGTCTGCTCTCCAAACGTTCCGTAGCTAACAGACAAGCGTTGAATTAAGACAGGGCCAGCACCACTGCAGCTCCCATACTTTCCATTCAGACCTCTCACGGCACCAGCATAGTGCTAAGCACTCAGAGACAGAGATTCCTAAAGCAACATGGGACAGCTACAGTATGAAAACATTTCTAGAGGCATAAATAACCTGGCCTCTGAGGGGGTCAGTGTGGTGGGCACAATGTCACAGAGCAGCTTTGGAGGCTCTAGAAAACAACATTTTTTTTTAATGCATAAACTTTCTTACTTGATGTTTATACGAGGTAGGGTGAGGCACATCTTGGCCCTATAAACTTTGTAAGCGAGACCAAACTGAACGACCTTTAGGTTATGAATTTGAGGAGGGAGTAGAGTGCTTCACAAATACCAGAAAGAGTCCCCAGAGAACGGACTGACGTTTTCCCAGAGCTACGTTATTGCTAAAGGAGAAAATACCAAAATCATAACAGCCAGGGATTTCCCTGGTGGTCCAGTGGTTAAGGATTAACCTTGCCAGTTCAGGGGACACGGGTTCGATCCCTTATCCGGGAAGATCCCACATGCCGAGGAGCATCTAAGCCTCTGTGCCCCAACTACCGAGGCCCACGTGCTCCAGAGCCTGGGCTCTGCAACAAAAGCAGCCGCGAAGATGAGGAGCCTGTACACAACAACGAAGACCCAGTGTGGTCAAAAAATAAATTAAAAAAAAATAAAAATGAAAAAACTCAAAGCCATTTTAAAACACACACGACCAAATAAGTGAAACAAAACCAAGGCAGGATGATGCTCACCTGGAAGCCAATGGTTTGTAGCTCATTGTGGAGCCCATCCAGGACACGTCGTCCATCAAAGATAAAGGCTGGTTTCAGCATTTTTTTATGAATGCGTTCGTAATCCAGTTCCTACAGAGAAAGAACCAGAGAAACAGAGCATACTCAGGAACGCGTACTGCACCCCAGATGCTATGAGAACGCCTCTAAAATCTTCCCTAATCTCGCTTCGGTCACCTCACCTTAAACATGTCCCACTCAGTGCAAATCACGACAGCATGGGCGCCATCACACGCTTCATAGGGATCCTTGGAGATGGTCACGAGCCGGGCCACTGCAACAACCCAACAAAGGGCCGGAGTAAGGGAGGAGTGATTGCACATTATGCATTTTAACACTAGGATTGCAGGGCGAGTTCAGAGTCTGACACAAGTGGGATGGTCTGGTTGAAATACGAGTGGGGGTAACAGGGAGGGGCCTGGAGTCGTCCCCAGTCTTGTCCCAGAAGCATCTCCTTGTAACCTCTGGGGCTTTTTAAAAGAATATCTTGGAAGAATCGTGAGACTAATCCACTTCATTACTTGATTATTAATTAGTAATTACATTCCTAATCCACTGGATTACTTCAAATCAAAGTTGATGAAGCAATGTCTGAGAGTTTAATTTTAGAGAATTGAGGTTGAAAAGAGGAGCCTAGCAATGATAAAAATGACAAAAACTGAACAGCCAAAGGTTTCCAGAGAATAAATAAGTTTGGAAGCCCAAACTCAAAATGACGCATGAGAGACAAAGCCTGACTTACCTTGGTCATCCTTTGAAACTCCTGGATGAGAAAGATCCACAACTATTTGTTCCCTTGGTACTTTTGGATCATATATATGGAGATGTGCGCCTTCATCCATCAAATATTTGCTAATATATATACTAGATGACTCTCTGAAGGAAAAAAACAAAACACAGCTTTGCTATGCTTCCGAATGGCATATATTTTAATACCTATGCAATTTAATATACAGGTGAGATTCTATCTCTTGTGAGGATATGAACATCCACTTTTTTACTCTTTATACTATACACATGCATGTATTTCACATACACAGCTGCCATCAAACAAATCAGGAAGAGGAGTTAAGATTCTCAGACAGGTTGAAATATCTGAAAGAATTAATACCTTGTATCACCGGTGTCCTTTTTGAAAGCGAACCCCAAAATAGCTATCTTCTTGTCTGTCACTGTATTAAACAGACTGTCTATGATCCGGGAAGCAAATCTCCTTCTCTGGTAGTCGTTCATGTCTATGACCTGGAAGGACGTGCACAATCACGCAAGGGTCAGCTGAAAGAGGCACAGCCTATGCAAACACTGCTTTTAGCCTTATGGTTAGCACTCTTGTATGAATGCAAGCCTTATGAATTAACAGGAGGCAAATGTTACCAACCTCTTTAGTATCCACAGATCAGAAAAAACAAAGAATTTTACGCACTCCCTTCCTTTCCCACTCCTCCCCACCCTGAAAATTTTAAGTTTCATTTGGTTTTAACTTTGCCTGCATCAGACTGGGATGGATGTTAAGGTGGGGAGCACAGGTAAATTCCAATCCCATTTGAGGTCTGCCATGAGGCCAGCCTAAAAAGGCACATAGAAAATAGTGTTCTCAAAAAAAAAAAAAAAAAAAAAGAGAAGAAAATAGTGTTCTCCTTAGTCGACTTCTCCAAACCCTATGGAAGCAATTAAACTCCAAAGTACTCGCTCATATGCTTAACCAGGTCTTTCATCAAAACTGGGTGTGAGCAGAAAGAAGGTAGAGAACAGTCAAACCGCGGACAGGGCTACAGTTCATGCTCCAGATGAACCATGACACCATGAACTTTGGGAGAAATGTTTAACTAAATGTTACAAGTAAAAGTCTCTGATCACCTAATCTGTTACTCTCCTAAGAATTTATAAACAAACATCATATTGTTGACCAGAGGAATATAAGGAAAGACTTTTTTTTTTAAGGTTCTAAGCTTCTAGAAGCCATTTCAGAGTCGGAGAGCTTGGGAAATGAGCTTAAAGCTTTAGAAAAATGAAGCCTTTTTTTTTTTTTTTTTTTTTGCCACATAGCTGTAAGGCATGTAGGATCTTAGTTCCCCAACCAGGGATCAAACCTGTGCTCCCTGTAGTGGAACCATGGAATCTTAACCACTGGACTGCCATGGAACCTGGAGAATAAAGCCTTTATCTGCATTTTCCCCACAATGGACAGTAACATAAAGCCGTTACACTAGATTGAGTGAAATGAACTTAGAACTGTATATTTCCCTAAAAATGCTCATTTCCTTACTTTCCTACTCACTGCTGAAATCTGAAAAATTATAAACCCGGGGAAAAAATATTTGGAAAAGGTACATATACTGACTGGTTTCTTGAGCAAATTACTTAACACTGTTAAGCCTCAGCTTCCCATCTATAAATGGGATAATTTTAATGATGAGAACTAAGATACTACAGATAAAGTGCTTTAAAGAGTGCCTGGCACAGAGTAAGCACTCAAAAAATGTTAACTCTATTTCCAGGTTGAGAAGGGTCTCCAATTTTAGCTCTGTGAATCTCAAAGGGACAAAACAAATATGAACACATGCAAACCATTTGCAAGCATAACAATAGAGGTTCTTCTTTTATCTCTATCTTATGTCTTTCAAGATGAAGAACTACAATTAAAAGTTCTTGCTTTACATAGGGAGCAAATTTTGTTATTAAAATTAAAAGGAATACTTGTTTATCATAAACTTTCATCATAGCTGATTACCAAAACAGACAAAATTATAAACACAGAAGTTCAATAAATAAACCTAAAATGAACAAATTGAATATAATAATGATTGAGTTCCTGGAAAAAATTAATACTCTCAAAAACATTTGACAGAAAAAGATTATATGTTTTAATTGGAAGTTAATCATAACCTGTGGACTATAAATACCTGCTGCCAGTAACGAGCTACTTCAGGCAAATTCAGAGCCTCACAGAGATAAACCAAATTCAGAACATCCTTTTGAAAGCAACTCCCACCAAAACCTGAAGAAAAAAAAATGACAATATTTTCATTTGGAACCACACAACTAAATCATGTTACAAATTTCTGTGTCAATACTAATCAGAGGGCCTATGCTAGGATTTTTAATAATAAAATTTGAATGTGGGAAAATTAGTGAATTTATAAATTATGTGAAATTTGTAAGAAACTAATCAACTCTATAAATAATTTCCTAATAGTTATAAATAATTTTAAATAATTTAAAATAATTTTCAAATTAACTTAAGTTTTATTGTGGCTACATTTCTGTTTTTTCCCTCATTAACTGCTCCACATCTCTCACTCTAACATAGAGCTGGCAAACTTTAACATTCCCCATAGAAAATATTTTAGCCTTTGTAGGTCATGCAGTCTCTGGCACAACTATTCAACTCTGTCTTTGTTGCTCAAAAGCAGTCATAGACAATATGTAATCAAATGGGCATAGTTATTTTCCAATAAAACTTTATTTACAAAGACAAGCTGTGGGCCAGATTTGGCCTGAGGACTGTAATTCGCCCACCACTGTTTCAGTGCAATGCAGTATACAGTGAGGGTTGACATGAGCTTTGAAGTCAGATACACTTAGCCGCTCACTAGTTGTATGACTGAACAACTTAGGAAAATTCTCCCAATCCTTAATCAGCAACACTTTTATATAACAGGTGATAAATTAAGATATATAAACACCTGGTTCAGAACTTGCTGCATAACATGCCTTCAGGAAACAGCAGCTATTTTTATTAAATGGTCACTAGAAGAAAATATCAGAAAGACAGAAAAGGCCAGGAAATCAGTACTGAAAAATGGCATAAAGCCCCAGAAACATAGGAAGTGCTGCCTATGGCCCAATCTGTAAAAGACACTTTTTACGTTTACATCAACTTTACTAATTTAAATCCAAAAATATAGGCAACTCTCATTAAACTCAGTAGTTATGTCCTATAAATTTGCCACAAACACTGAATTAGCAAATACTGAAGTGTTGCTTATAGGTAAAATACAGCATTAGGTTCCTGTGAGCTTCTGGTTATGTTTTTTGTCAACTGATCAACATAATCTTGTTTTATGTGTGCTTATATTTAGAGACACCTTATTTAAAAATATTGTTGACCTTCATTAACAATGAACTCAAAGCCAACAGCACTGAAGTGAAGCTTATCAAACCACATGTATTTTCTCTGTAAGGCACATCATGGTTTGCTGACACTTTGGAACACCAGAAAAAATTTCAGCAATATTCTCGAGGGCCATTTTAAACAGTGAAATCACAGTGGGGCAGGAGGTCGGGGGGAAGCACCAAAATGCAAAAAATATGGTACTAAACAGACCACAAGAACAGCAGACATTTGCAGTATGTGAGCTAAAACAAGAAGGTAACTTCAACTGGGAATGTATGTGTTGGGCAACTCAAATTTTCTGCTGCTCTGTTCGTATCTGCAAATGACCATGTGAGTATCGATGCTGGGTTACAAATACATTTTAGCACGTAGGCTAAATAATTCACAAATATGGAACTCACAAATAATGAAAATATTTCACTAAGGTCACATTTGTGTAAATGTATCAGTAGGAAAAGTAAATGCTAAGGAATTTTTTCCTATTGCTTCAGTAAGATGTTATATGATTTCTGATGTGATCTCCTAAACTTATTCTACCTAAATGTTCTAACAAAATATTAATATATTTCTTCTGAAACACTGAGCCATGTTTATACACTAACAAGTCACTAATTATTGAACAATATATGTAACTATTGTCTCACTTAGCAAGTCCCTGATAAGCTGAAGGCTACATGTATAATGAAATCTTTATTTTAAGGGTGTCAAGCAAAGGCTTCCTTAAAGTTAGAGATCTACCTAAAAGAACCTACTCGATGCATAGAAAACTTCCAGCTTACCAACACTGGCTTTCAGAAATTTATTTCCAATTCTCTGGTCCATTCCAATGGCTGTTGCCACCTCTTCTACATCTGCTCCTGTTGCTTCGCAGAGGGCACTTATAGAGTTGATGCTGCTGATTCTCTGGGCCAGAAAAGCATTTGCTGTCTTAAAAAAAAAAAAATGAAGAATATGATGAACTAAAATAACCATTTTATATAATCTGCATTATATTTCATCAAGTTGAGCAAATTATTGAAGGAGATATGAAAGTTTCTGATGGGTTCATTCTGAAGAGGTAATGGGTGGGTTGGTTCAGAAAAATGTTTTAAATTAGAGAAGAAAGGTGATTAAGAAAGGGTAAGAAGGGACCTCCCTGGTGGTCCAGTGGCTAAGACTCTCTGCTCCCAATGCAGGGGGCCTGGGTTCAATCCCTGGTCAGGGAACTAGATCCCACAAGACATAACTAAGATCCCACACGCTGCAACTAAGACCCAGCTAAGCCAAATAAATAATTTTTTTTTTAACTTTTATGTATTTATTCTTTAGCAGCACCTTGAGGCATGTGGGATCTTAGTTCTGTGACCAGGGATTGAACCCACATCCCCTGCAGGTGGGAGCGTGGGTTCTTAACCACTGGACCACCAGGTACATCCCAATAAATAAATATTTAAAAAATAAATAAATAAAGTTGAAGATTTTAAAAAAGAGAGAAAGTAAAAAGAAGGGAATGAGTGATTTTTAAAATTACTATTTTAGTACACTCTATTTTCTTTTACATATTCTAAAATATTTTATACCCAAATATTTGATCCCCTTGTGGAATTATTTCACAATATACAAGAATATTATCTTATAAGCATATCTTTTTATTAAGAAAGTCCCTAGGCAGCTTATCAGGGGTAAGAGAACTAAGCCCTTGGCTTAAATTTAACAGAGTTGAGTGCTCCGTACGAACCAGTTTGGAAAGCTCTGAAGACCAAGTGTTGGTGGTGAGGATCTTTTCCCTGGGGACCCAGTGCTCATACACAGCACACAGCGCCTGCACAGCCCTCTGGCCCTCTGGAGTTTCATCCCCTCCAATCAGCACCCTGTCTGGGTTCTTCAGGTCCTTGATGGCCGTTCCTTCTGCCAAGAATTCAGGGTTGGACAGCACCTGGAATCCCAACGCAAAGGAACGTTTCAAGCTAGAATTAATTATGGACAACGCGGAGCACTGATGCTTACATAAGAAGGCCAGATTCGAATGCTTCCTTTTCCATACCTGTAAATTCAAGTTGGGTTTTGTGTTTGCATCAAATATTCGACGAATACTTTCTGCTGCCCGCACTGGGACCGTGCTTTTCTCGGTCACAATTTTGTAGCCGTGTGAGTTTTGCACGATGCGTCTAGCACAAGCTTCAATATACTTCAGATCTGCTGCACGGCCTTTTCCCATTCCATAGGTTTTGGTTGGTGTGTTCACCTGATGAAAGTATACGGAGTTAAGAACAAAGTATCTGTGAAGTGTTCACTGATATCAAGATACACCCTGGACCATCAATTGACTAGTCAAGTGGGAAGTTAACATCATCAGTAGCCCTGGTTTCACCCTCTATTAGTTCCACGGAAATAATACATTTTATAAATATAATACCTTAGGGAACAGCTTGCAGTACCTGGAGAACTAACTCATTACATTTCTACATTTCTATTGAGAAGCTACTATATATGTGTCAGAGTCAGGATAGCAGGATACGCAGGGTCTAAGCTAAGACTGGGCTTTCCTCATAACTCAGTTGGGCTTCCCTCATAGCTCAGTTGGTAAAGAATCCACCTGCAATGCAGAAGACTCCGGTTTGATTCCTGGGTCAGGAAGATCTGCTAGAAAAGGGGTAGGCTACCCACTCCAGTATTCTTGGGCTTCCCCTGTGGCTCAGCTGGTAAAGAATCCTCCTGCAATGCAGGAGGCCTGGGTTGGATCCTTCGGTTGGGAAGATCCCCTGGAGAAGGGAAAGGCTACCCATTCCAGTACTCTGGCCTGGAGAATTCCATGAACTGTATAGTCCATGGGGTCACAAAGAGTCAGACACGACTGAGTGACTTTCACTTTCACTGCACTAAGCTAAGACTGGAGATATAAAGATGAAGGAGACTCCAAAAGGAATTCATGGACTGAAATGAAATGTAAGTTCTCTCTTCTTCACCTGATTATATGTAACATATTATCCTAGTCTTTTTTTTTTTTTTTTTGGATTTTATTTTTTTATTTCTTTTTTTTTTTTTTTTTTTTGTCTTATTCCTACAACCTTGGCCTTTTATTTCACCATCCCTATCACAGTCCTAGTCTTTAAAACTAAACTTAAAGCTCCTTTTACTCTCCCTTTTTTATAGACCTATATCATTACGTTTTTATAAATGTCTGCAGTGTCATTCACAAATGCTTTGTTGGCTATTTAGAACTAGAAATTATCTAGCACCTCCAGGATACAGAATAGTATGCAAACAAAGACTATCATATAGAAAGAAAAATAAACCATGAGTTCAGAGTCCAGGCATTTAGTTTTGACTTAGCTGTATCATGTAACCATGGGGAAGTATGGCTGCCTTTGTTTCAACGACCTCATTGGAAAATGAGAATAACACATTCTCTAAACTCTAACACATGAGTTTCATAACATTCACATAAAAGTGAAAATACTCTGTGAAGTCCAAACGTCTATATAGGAATAACTTTTGAACCAGTAAGTAGCATCAATTTTCTTCTCTTGACAAACATAACTTCATGGGAGAGTGAATAAAACAATGAAACCAAAATAAATCAAAACATGAAGATTTAGATGAGGCGTGAAAAGCATGAGGGAAATTTGTGTATATGCATGGAACAACTTAGGAAAAGACTTAGGTATGGAAGTCAGGGTGCAGGAGCACAGAAGGGCAAAAATGACTGATGAGACAGTGTGAGACATGCTGCAGATGTGGGATGATCAGATGGTTTCCCCAGGTAAAGGAGCTCTAAAGATAACAACTGAAAACTGATTCATAGCATAAAACTATTCCTACCTGGAATTCGCCTAAAAATGACTTGGGTAATCTAGGATGGGAGAGAAGTATAAAGAAGATTGGGGACTCCCCTGGTGGTCCAGTGGTTAAGACTCCATTCTTCCACTGCAGGGGGTGTGGGTTTGATCCTTGGTTGGGGGAACTAAGATCCCACATGCCCCAAGGAGCAGCCAGAAAATTATAAAAACAAAAAACACGAAAGACCATGATGACTGTTGACAATGGAGAATGGGTAAGTAGGGGTTCATTATATTGTTGGTTTCATCTTTTGCATAAGTTTGCTATTTTTTCATAAAGAAAAGTATACAACAAGTACAGTTTTTTAAAAAAAACCGATGCAGAGAAAAATGGAAACTAGGTAGGAGTCGTATCACAAAAATAACTCTAATAGGCACACAAAGCAATTAGCTTGGAAAGACTCAAGGGCGTCAGTGGAGCTCTGGCTACACGGGTAGAGAAGCGAGTGTCTAATCAGCTGTCTTTGCCAGAACACGATAAGGTGAACTCTATTGCCTTAAGAATAGATTCTTTAAAAAAATTTTTTTTCTTTTTCTTACAGAAAAGTCCCCTATTCCCAATTCTAGGCTGTAGTTATCCAAATGTTGGACTAAGGTAACTTCTTGATTTTCTCCAAGCATCTAGATACTCCCAAATAATTTCTCCTTTTCTATGCCTCTACCCTGAGAGACTGAACTGAACTGAACCTGCAATCTTGAGCAGACAAAGGGTAGGTGAGTCACAAAACTGGCACCAGTTCCTCTGAAGTAATTTTTAAAAAGAAAGACTGAATTCATGGTACAGTTTCACCAAGGATTTCATTACTACTTTCTCCTGGAGTTCATATTTCTTCACAGTACCACTTTTGCCTCGATACACATAATCAATTCAACATCATCTCTACTCTATGGACGCCCCTGGTGTTTCTTTATCTCATGGAACCCAGTCCAAGCTCATACCACTGTCTTTCCCCTTACTCCATAAGGCTATAAAGGTCTTAAGTCATATAACACCCTAGCTCAGCTACCACCTGGTGATAACTATACCCTCACACACAGAATATTTGAGTTACCAAAACAGCAAGAAAAAAGCTACCTTGGTTCACATGTTGTATTACCAGAGTGTATTCCCAAGCATTGATTCTACTCTTTTAATTACAAAAGTACAACAGTTAAGTTCTATTATGAACTGAAGTTATTTATGGACTAGCCTAACAACCTAATCAAGACATGCCAAGTTCTAAATAATTAATTTAAAATGATTTTTGGAATATAAATTCATCTAGATAGGAGAGGGTGGTACAGTTACAGCAAACTTTACCTGGTTCTTTTTACTGAACCTACACCAAGCAGTGGGACCAAGAAACAATGAAACACATATACTATCACCATATGTGCTCACAAGTTATCGACACTTCCTAATTCTAGATCTCAGACGAGAACTTTCTCTGAACTTATTTATTCAATGATCTGAAATGATCAGATGACCACAGAGTTTGGTGAAGTGCTGGACAAAGTTAGTGATAATCAAAATTCAACTGGACAACTTTATACTAAGTAATGCTATGGCTTAATAGCACTGGATTTATTATTAAAACACAATGAAACTTCTATATAGACAAGAATACATTAACTCACACAGCAAAGGAAAATACTTACAGAAATAAATACAAGATCAGCTTCCTTAATGGCATCATCAATATTGGTAGAAAAAAATAAATTTTTTCCTCGACAGGATTCTACCACTTCTTTTAGTCCTGGCTAAAAAAAAAATAAAAAGGAGAGAAGTTGCACACACATTTTACCAGCCAGATGAGATAACCCAATAGTACAGAATAGCATTCGTTAAGGGAAAGGTCATGTTGTAATTTAAAGGTAGATTTGCTCTCAAATAACACCTCTGGAGAAAACTCAAAGACCAAACTGGTATCAAAGGTCATCTAGTGCACATCATATGAGATAATATACAAAGCAAAACTGAACTTGAACAATTAAAGCAGCAGATCAGCTTAATGCATTTCATTGTTGACCACGTTCCAGACTATTTCATAAGAGTTAACAGTTAACGCCAAGTATCACACAATCATCAGGAAAGTCAAAGTCTTTCATGATTTCAAGCAAACATTTGATTTTGCATCGTCATTATGAATGTAGGTTTTACTCCCATGAATCCAGGTCATAGAACACAGGCCATTCAGACTAGCTGTGAAATAGTCACTATTTATACATGCATAAACTTATAATTTTTCTAAGTCCTCTTATAAGAAACATGTCTATCAAAAAAATTGTTACTTTTCCCATATAATTTTTTAAGTTGATATATTTTCATTTTTATTCAGTTCAAGAAATTTCTTTTTTTTTTTCTACATGGCATGCAGGATCTTAGTTTCCTGACCAGGATCAAACCCTTGCCCCCTGCAGTATAAGTGTGGAGTCTTAACCCTTGGACAGCCAGGGAAATCCCTGGTGTCACCAATTATAGCAACTGTTTCCTTATTTTGACTAGGCTCTAGAAAATTATAGTAAAAGGTTATGAAGTTGGAATTTTACAGAGAAGATTTAATTCAATCCTATATATAATCTTCTAATATTTAAATTAAAGTAACCTAAAATCACAACAATGCAGAATTTATAGTCTTTTTTTTATATTTAAGAAAAATGTATTTTTATTTATTTGTTTTTTAACTTATTTTATTTACATATAGTTGCTTTACAATGTTGTGCTGATTTCTGCTGTACAGCAAAGTGATTCAGTTATATTCATTACATACATATTCAATACATACACAGACCTTTTTTTTTCATATTCTCTTCTATTACGGTTTATCACCGGGTATTGAATATCATTCCCTGTGCTATACTGTAGGATCTTGTTGTTTATCCATGTGCTCACTCAGTCATGTCTGACTCTCTGCAACCCATTGGACTGTAGCCCACCAGGCTCTTCTGTCCATGGAATTCTCCAAGCAAGAATCCTGGAATGGGTTGCCATTTCCTTCTCTATGTATAGTAGTAAGTCTTAATAAGACCTCAACATGAACAACTACATTATTCCATTAAAATCAATGTGATATTTGTAGATATCCAAAATAGATCCAGAAGCAGTTAATAATACAGGTTCTACTTCTTATTAGGTTTATTATGTAATTATCATAATTAGTATTTTGAATTTATATGGTACTTTTTAATGAAAAAACTTTCATAGGATAAAATTTGCTTTTGTTTTATTCAGAAAAAGTGAAGCAAATTATCCAGTTTGTTTTTTTAGAAGTACTTATTAAATGGATTTTTTAAATGAACAAAATTAACATAGAAGTAATAACTTTAATAAATATGGTAACACAAAATGTTTTCATTGTTAAATATCAATAGAATCTACTATTCTGTTCTCTGAGTAAAAACATGAATACCTTATTACCAAATTTCATCTGATGGTCATTACTATTTCCTTCTTAGGCAGTAAAAATGACTACTTTTTAATTAATATAACTTTGACCCATAAAATATAAACCTATAACACTAACCACTGGACCACCAGGGAAAAAAAAATCACAATGAACACAACTTGGCGGACCCTAAATACATGTAGCTGAGTTTTTCAATGTAGCTCGGTAATCTTTTTACTTGTCCTCTCTTTCTGAGATTTACTGCTCCAACCTACACTACAGGTTCTTCAGAGGATTGTACCTCCCACGTTGTAACAACTGAGATTGACCAATGTTCCAGTCACTTTATTTCCTGTTCCCACCAACAAAACAGCACCTTTATCCATTCTTATTTTCATGCCTGCCTGCCCAGTCCTGTATGACCCCATTGACTGTAGCCTGCCAGGCTCTTCTGTCCATGGGATTTTGCCGGCAAGCATATTGGAGCGGGTTGCCATTTCCTCCTCCAGGACGTCTTACCAACCCAGAGATCAAACCCTAGTCTCTTGAACTGGCAGGTGGATTCCTTACCACTGAGACACCTGGGAAGCACCATCCTTGTTTACTTCCCTCCAATTTCTGAGAAGGGGACTTTCAAGGCCAATTCCTCTTCATGTGCTTTTGATCTCATCACCTTTGCTATCTTTCTAGACTTTATTCCATCAGTTAGCTCCTTTCTTCTTATACTTTTGACCCTTCCTTCCCTATGTGATTTGTCTACCTTAGTTTATTAACATGCTTGATTCTCTATCAACCAGAGGAAAAAATATAAATTAAAAAAATCACTGTCTTTACCCCATGTCTCTCTCCAGTGACCACCACCTTTATTTCCTTATTAAACTTTTTTTTTTAAAAGGTATTTAACAACCATAGTGTATCTTTTTTTTTTACATCTATTCCCCATCCCGGTCCCCCCTCCCACCTCCCTCTCCACCCGATCCCTCTGGGTCTTCCCAGTGCACCAGGCCCGAGCACTTGTCTCATGCACCCAACCTGGGCTGGTGAACTGTTTCACCCTAGATAATATACGTGTTTCGATGCTGTTCTCTTGAAACATCCCACCCTCGCCTTCTCCCAGAGTCCACAAGTCCTTATTAAACTTTTTAAGAGTCATTCCTTTTCTACACTCTTACTCTTCCAATCTCCTACCACTTGTAATTGTTCTTGTAAAAGCTGCAATGACCCTCATAATGTTGAATTTCAAGAATATGTCTCATCTCTTATTCCTCCTGTTTCTGTCATAATTGACAGCTTATTCACTCAGCAAATACTTATCAAGCAGTTACTGAGTACTGGTCACTGAGTTAGTCACTCATAATCAAGACATACTTCTTCATGGAGTTTGCACTACTAAAATTCTTCTGGCTTTTGGTTCACCTTCTCTAAACTACTCTTCATAGCTTCTCTAAGGCATTCCTTCCTCCACCCACCATCAAACATTGGTATTTTCCAGGGTTCTGCCCTTGACTCATGCTCTGTTCTGACTTTAGGCCCTTCCTGAGAGAGCTAAACTACTCTGATTTTACTACTGCCTGCGTAATACATTTTTTTAATACCTGGATAATCTTAACTTTCCATCCTCAGCCTTGAATTTTTTTTTCTTTTTTCTTTTTGGCCATGCCTTGCAGCATGTGGGATCTTAGTTCTCCAATCAAGGATTGAACCCAGGCCACGGCTGTGAAGGTGAGAAGACCTCAATCACTGGACCACCAGGGAATTCCCCAGCCCTGAATTCTTAAATGTCATTCTAGATTCGGTCCTCTTCTTCATCCTTTTATATAATCAACAGTCAAGTCTGATCATTTTTCTGTCTAAATCTTTCCCTTGGGGGAATTCCCTGGTGGTCCAGTGGTTAGGATTCTGAGCTCTCAGTGCTGAGGGCCTGGATTCAAACTCTGATTGGATCACACAAGCCTCAGTCAGTCAGTCAGTTCAGTCGCTCAGTCATGTCTGCTTCTTTGCAACCCCATGGACCAAAGCACGCCAGGCCGTGCTGCATCACCAACTCCCGGAGTTTACTCAAACTCTTGTCCACTGAGTCGGTAATGCCATCCAACCATCTCATCTTCTGTTGTCCCCTTCTCCTGCCTTCAATCTTTCCCAGCATCAGGGTCTTTTCCAAAGAGTCAGTTCTTTGCATCAGGGGGCCAAAGTATTGGAGTTTCAGCTTCAGCATCAGTCCTTCCAATGAACATTCAGGACTGATTTCTTTTAGGATGGACTGATTGGATCTCCTTGTAGTCCAAGAGACTCTCAAGAGTCTTCTCCAACACCACAGTTCAAAAGCATCAATTCTTTGGTGCTCAGCTTTCTTCATAGTCCAACTCTCACATCCATACATGACCACTGGAAAAACCATAGTTTTGACTTTGTTGGCAAAGTAATGTCTCTGCTTTTTAATAAGCTGTGTAGGTTGGTCATAACTTTTCTTCCAAGGAGCAAGCGTCTTTTAATTTCATGACTGCAGTCACCATCTGCAGTGATTTTGGAGCCCCCAAAAATAGTCTGTCACTGTTTCCACTGTTTCCCCATCTATTTGCCATGAAGTGATGGGACCAGATGCCATAATCTTAGTTTTCTGAATGTTAAGTTTTAAGTCAACATTTTCACTCTCCTCTTTCACTTTCATCAAGAGTCTCTTTAGTTCTTCTTCACTTTCTGCCATAAGGGTGGTGTCATCTGCATATTTAAGGTTATTGATATTTCTCCCGGCAATCTTGATTCCAGCTTGTGCTTCATCAGCCCAGCATTTCTCACAATATACTTTGCATATAAGTTAAATAAGCAGGTTGACAATATACAGCCTTGACGTATTCCTTTCCCAATTTGGAACCAGTCCTTTGTTCCATGTCCAGTTCTAACTGTTGCTTCCTGACCTGCATGCAGGTTCCTCAAGAGGCAGGTCAGATGGTCTAGTATTCCCATTTCTTTCAGAATTTTCCACAGTTTGTGGTGATCCACACAGTCAAAGGCTTTGGCATAGTCAATAAAGCAGAAATAGATGTTTTTCTGGAACTCTCTTGCTTTTTCGATGATCCAACAGACGTTGGCAATTTGATCTCTGCCTTTTCTAAATCCAGCTTGAACATCTGGAATTTTATGGTTCATGTACTGTTGAAGCCTGGTTTGGAGAATTTCGAACATTACTTGTTAGCATGTGAGATGAGTACAATTGTGCAGTAGTTTGAGCATTCTTTGGCATTTTCTTTCTTAGGGATTGGGATGAAAAATGACCTTTTCCAGTCCTGTGGCCACGGCTGAGTTTTCCAAACTTGCTGGCATATAGAGTGCAGTACTTTCACAGCATCATCTTTTAGGATTTGAAATAGCTCAACT